AGCACGGGAGAGCTCCACTTTTAAGCACGAGAGGCAATAAAGTCCATTCAAAAACTTTTCCACAAGATCCGATTAGAGATCACCGTACTACTTATGTACAGCCATTAGTTTAATAGCAGAAGAGAAGAATTGGTCTGAAATGTCATGTGCTGGAGGACATTTTGCGGTGTATTCTGTGTTCCATCCCTTAGCTGCATGCGCATAGGAACAGGAATCATCAGTACAGCCTTTTACTCGCCATGGTCTAAACAATCATGTGGTCAATTTACAAGACATATTTGCGAAAGAAAGAGAAATCAGAGAGAGGGAATACAGTGTGAGAATGTAAGACATTAAAAGTCTTTTTCAAGAATGTGAGTTTTTTTTTTTTATTTCATCATTTTCTATCTTATTTTTCAATGAGGGATTTAAACCAATTAAGCACCTGATCTCAGCTGCTTGTAATCTCTTCGTTTTCTCTTTGATGATTCAATGGCAGCTGTTTTTTCCAGAATTCTCACTACGCTGTAATGCTCGTTCTCAGCTGCAACGTCAGTTGGCGTTTGTCCAACCTTAATAAGTTCAAATACGCTCGGAATATCGAAATATAAAACATTCGATTTAAAAAAAAAAACCGTCAATCCCATCATCGACTCAGATCCTACAAAATTCCAAGCCAGGGACCTCATCGTGGTAAAAGGAAGACAACGAATTAAGCAGTATCGAAGTACAGTGAGGTGCAAGTGTATCAGGAAAAGTGTTCCGCAACTTGTCTGGTTAAGCTCAGGTGAGTTTGAACAAGCTTTACCAGTGACAGGTAATGTACTTGACGAAAAATATGTATCTATTTATACTTATACGTTTTTTTGCGGAAGAAATTAGCCAAAAAGCAGATCACTTTGATGCCAAAACTGGCAAATTCAAAATCTCAAATTCTGCGATATAAAATAATAAATCCTGTGCTGAAATGTACGGAAATACCTGATCCGTAATGTTCATATTTGCGCCAAGCGAGAGCAGCAAATTAACTGCATCTAAACGACCTTCCCGAGCGGCAAGATACAATGGAGTGGCTCCCTAGAAGGAACGAAAATAGTAATGAGCATTTTTTTAAGTAATGAGAAAATAGTAAAGAGTAATACACGCCTATAATAACAACTGAATGCAATTTTGCAGAAAAAGATTTTAAAAAAAACACAAAAAAAACAGTCGCAATCAAAACCTTGTAGTCCTGAGAATCCAATTTTAAGCCGAGTTCGAAAAGCCTGGGCAGAATTTGCACTCGATTATTCATCGCTGCGTAATGAAGCGCTGTACGCCCGAAAACGTCAATCAGCCAAGGATCGTCCTTTTCGGATAAGACATGCTGCGAGTATGCGCAGCTTTCTGAATATGACTCCAAATGTCCCTGAAATGACTGTCTTGCAACGTCGAATTTGAAAAAAAAAGCTCCGATTTAAATGATAAAAAATTTGGATTTCAAATGTCCAGCGACCTCATGGTACCAATTTTGTTATCAAAAAGGCCCAATTCAATAAATTTATTTCTTAAATTTTATTTATTTTTTAAATTTGTTAAAGTGTGAATTGAAGTAAATTTATTTATTTCTTAAATTCAGACAAATTCAGAGAAATTCTTAAGTTCAGATAAAAACAGATTCTTAAATTCAATAAATTAATTCCTTAAATTTATTAAAGTGTGCCTCAATTTGCAATAGATTCATCTGATTATGTATGTGCATTTTTGATTGATTTCTATCGTAATAAATAAATCGCAATAAATCGATTTGATTGAATAAATAAATAAATCTGCACAACAATAAAACAATAAATTTATCACTCATCTGAAGCAATTTATGTAACACGTAGCGGAAACGAAAACCGCGGATCCACCTCTAAATATTGTGCCAGCTATCTCTGCACCCGAAGTCCGGTATTCTTGGAAGATCCTATGCAATTAATCCCTCGAAATTTCTCTCTCTTTCGTATGATAATCAATATATCAAGCCAGAATCGACGGTACTTAGCACAAGTGCCATAAAGACGGCGGAGAGAGTGTAATAGACCTAGTGCTACTTTGGGAGAAAATTAATGAAAAAACAAAGAAAAAATCCCAGGATCATTAATATATATTGACATCATCCAGTGCAGCACTGACAGGGCAATCATGAACAAGCTGCTATAAATTTTAGTCGTGCAAAGGTATACTAGGTGAGATGATTCAGCTTTATCTAAGCATCAGCTTCATAAATAGGGAAGCTCATTACTCGTTTTTCCTTTCACAATTTTAAGTTTTCTTTAATTGGCTTTTCTCTTTCCATTGCAAAATATGATGAGAAATTAAATAAAACATGAATAAAATAAGCTTCTGAAGGTTCGCAATCATTGCAATTTGTTTGTCTAGGCAATTTCACTCACTCATCCCCTGCCTCCCCCTCTATCTTTTGCTGATGAGCTTTTCCTACTTTTCTTTAACTTTCAAAAACAACCGTCGTGCTGATGATATCGAAGACGCTGAAAAAGAATGTATGCAACTCACTGGATCGAAACACTCCTCTTCAGATTCATTTTAATCTTTTTACTTTCCTTATATACTCTATCAATTCTTTCTTTCGTTCCATTCATAGCTTTAAAAAAACGATCCACAATTACTAACTTCTAAAAATCGAAAAAATTACTCTAACACAAAACATGACAGCTAAATTTGTTTTAAGAAATGCATCTCAAAAATTTGGCGATTGAAAAATTCTTTAATTTATTATGCCTTCTATAATATTTTAACAAGTTATACCACTTTTTATCGAACATTCCGAATCCGGAGAAAAAAAAACATACCAGCAATTGGTCGAATTGAGCATTACTCAATGGCACAAACAAGGACTTCAAGGGACCGTTTCGGCTAAAAAAAGCACTGAATTTTAGTCACTGAACAGAAAATACGGCTAGCGGAATCAATAAATTTTTCGCAAGTAAAACTATCGCTCTAAATTCAAAAGTCTGAGTTTCCTGATACCAAACTCTAAAACTTCTGGTACTAGTGCAGGTGCTAGTAATTGCCAACAACAACCACACGTAGGCAAGATAATTCCATTCTAAACATAACTGTTTGCCTTAAGAAAACTTAAAACAGCTTGCCTTCCTGCTCACTAGGGAGGTCAGTACCAATTTCATTAAATAGAACAGAATCAAAGAATCATGCAGAGGCTGTTTTAGTAGGAGAAGGGCTGAAATATTGCTTGCTTCCAGACTACTCTTTTAGAGGAGCTCAGATGTTGCTTTGCAGGCAGGATTTGGGGACAGAGCAAATTTCCTCTACACTGACACATTC